AACAATCTACAAAAAAACGTAAAATTAAAGAAAGCGCGCTAATTTTACTAAATCAAAATAATTGTGTTGCTTCATGTTCATTTAATTTAAGTCATAAATGGTCACCAATGCTAAAATCTGAAGTAGACCAGAGAAACATACACCCAAATTAAATTTACACCAAAATTATTAATTAATATTACCTTTATTAATTTAAACAATAAGATTAAGTCAAAGTCACATAACTGACAATTTGCACAGACGAATTATCAGAGCGAGTTTTCATATACTGTATTATCCTACTATTGTTACACAATTTATTAACATAGTCTTTTTTAGGTTCATTTAGGTTCTTTTGATAACGATAGCAGAAAATAGCTATCGAAACGTCAAGGTAATTTTTCAAATTAATTTCTCTACTAATTGGAATTTTCTCTTACAGCTTGAGCCTAAGTGTGTCGCAGGATACAGGATAGGTAATAAAAGACTTGAGGAAATTCTGTCTTTTTTAAAGACAAACATTTTTGAGGCGAAATACCCAACAAGAAGTTTGTAAAAAAACGAAGGAAGTTAAAATGCAAAATATAACATTTCCAGTTTCAAGTCGCGACTTTCAGTTAGTTTAGTTAGTTGGAAAATGAAACGTTGAGTTTAAAATTGACTTACAGTTACAATTATTTTTCTAAGGTAGCGATTTTTCTGCGAAAATCCAATTATTTCTCCACAGTTTGGTTGAATTTTATCAAAATTGAAACTATCTGACGTTTGCTGTCAGGCTTTAACCCTCTTTTTGATATGCGCAGAACAGATTTATCTGTCAGTGTCACACGCTTTATGAGCCACTATATAGTGGTCCGTTCCTCTTGCAAGAGAGTCGCTCTTTCCTTGTCTAAGGTTGTAGGTTTTTTGTGAGCGAAATGACGGAAAACGTCATTTTTTGAGCGGGCATATAAGTCGTCATGGAAAATAATTTCTTTCTGAGGATGCAAGCTAGTTGTGCTTGCGAAACGTCGGGAAGAAATTAATTTCCACAACGACCTAAAAGCCCGAAAATCTTACCTCGTTAAAGATAATGAATAATACATAGTGCCAGCTGTAATTTGAAAATTCAGCAAACTCTCTTTTGGGTTCTTGTAGTGAAACCACAGACTTTGTGACTTTGTGCTGTAGTGTACTTTTCCCCTTCTGCCAGCGCGTAAAAGACGTGTTGTTTAGTATTAGCAAAAGGTGACCCACTAACGTGGATCCCCTCCATACCATATGGTAAAATGGTCGATTTGAATGGCCTTCAGCGAGCTGTTAAAGGGAATGGGCAAATTCTTTATTCTCGTGTTTGTCTGGTATGGAGGGGACTTAAGAGTACCTACCTCGCAAGCGGCATGCAATTTTAATCCCAGCAAAAAATAATAATTAATTTTCCCATTTTTTTACATTTACCATTTAACCGATTTGTTAAAGAATTGGAATACAAATTTAAACTTTTCTATACATTATTAGTTGGTTTTTGAAAAAAAAAATTTGTCTTACATTCAACTATGCCACACACATGCAAAAATATAGTGTGCTTTACATAATTTCTGATGGTTTTCAAAAGGTCCTTGGACTTGTTTTGCACATGAAAAAGTATTAGAATGAAGTCAATATTATTGTTATTATGAGAACCATTATATAAAAATTAGCATTTTACTATAATAAACAGTCGCGCGCGATATCGAAAACGTTTACAATGTGATTATATACGCAGATCTTCG